ACTCTAGCAGTACCAACATAAGAGGGAATCTGGGCAGCCAGTTCTATGTGGCTAGAGGCTCCTTGGTAGTTTGGAAATGCACACAAGTGTCGGCTGGAAATGTTGGTTTGCAGGAACTGAGGCAACAGGTGCTAGAACCAGCTTGTGGGAAAGACCGCGATCTGCCCGTAGCTGAGGGCCATGCAAGGCCAGGAATGCACCTCTCTGGGAGAGGGGCCCTTAGGGTACTGCTCATTCCCAGCTGTATTAAAGAGGGTTGAAGGGGCTCCTGCCTGCGTAGCAGCTAGGCTGAAGGCTTTTTTCATTTCCTTCTCTTGCTATTCCAGCTCCTCTCGCCTATAAAGGACTGCGGGTGAATGAACACAATTCCCCATTATTCTGACCTCATTCCTCTACTTACAGTAGCATCTGAGTGAACTAGACTGTTGTTCAGTCACTGTTTGGGTGTGGGTGTGGTACGGGTGTAGTCCAACATAGTCCCAGCAGTTAGGATGCAACGTTCCCACCTCTCCAATTCCGTTCCCTACAACAATGTCATAGCCTACTTTCCTAAAATACCAGGCTGGCTTCACCGTTCAGTGGGATTATACTTAGCATGGTCCCAAGTCCCTCTAGGAGCTGGACTTGCTGGTTCCCAGCCTCCTCTATTTATCTTCAAAACCCTATTCAAGGGTCATCTCTAGAAACGCTTCTATGACACCTTCTTCTGAATAAACGAGGTACCTCTTGATAGCGTTATTATTATTATTATTATTATTATTATTATTATTGCATGTATCACTGCATTGATTAAATGACATTCATAACTGCCTGGCACCTAGTGGGTGACCAATAAACGCTTGCTGAATTGAACTTGGCCTCTCCCTGATGGGTCCAGAAGCAGGAAGGTTGTGAAAATGCTGTTTTAGGAATTCCCATGGCATTCTAACAGCCTGGAATGAATAGGGCATTTAAAAAGAAATTATCCATTAGTACCATAACAAAATGTACAAATATCAACTCTCAGGCAACTAATCCAGGCAAAATTCTAAAGCTTGCCCGGGCAAGAGAAATGGTCCTAAAGAGAAAGAAAAGACTGAAGAACAAGCTTACATGATTGGAAAGAGTTGTTCCTATGTTTACAGCTAAAATAAAAGACTAAAATGTACTTAGACGTTGCCTTGGAGATGCCACCCAAACAGAGACCCATAAATGCTATCCACATTCAAACATTAAAGGAAATGACACCTCATCCACCTTACTAATGAAGGCAACATAAATGGATGAAGTCGATGCACAATCAACAAAACTGAGCTCTAGTCCTGGGTCACTCGCTAGGTGAGGGACTCAAAAAAGCAGCACTGTTAATCTTTTCAAAGTGTGCCTTTTACAAAACACTCATTAATATTGTAATAATGTATGGCAACAGATGGTGACTATAGTTAGCGCTGGGAGCACTGAGGAAAGTACAGAATTGTCAAATCACCATGCTATACACCTGAAACTAACATAACATTGTCAAGCATACTTCGAGGGTAAATAAATAAACACACACACACAGAGCACACAAAGTCTAAGCGCTCTTATTGATTAATACGGCATGAGCAGAGCTCAGTGGGACGTCTTTTTCTTCCTCACCTGGAAGACCAAAGCCCTTTGAATTCTAACTTCCGTGGCTCCGTGTAAAGCAACAGCATCTACATACAAGTATATTTCCCCATGGAAAAATGTAAATACATATTTACTTTGGTGTGCCTTTGACTCAGAAACACATAGATGAAGAACGTGGCTTGGAAATGTGGACCTCTTGTTAAGGATGCCTGTGCACTTTGCTAAGAAGGCGGCAGTGCCTAGACATTTTGTATTCTTCTCTGTCTCAGCTCCCATCTCTAAAAATATACTGATGACATTTTTCTCTGACCTCTACCTACCGCAGGGAATAGAGGATAGGGGTGACAGCGCTCATTAAAGCCACGAACTTCTTCAAAGACAGAACACTCCTTTCATTGTGGCTATCATGTTAGCAACCCCGCCAGAGTTCTCAGGGTTTTAAAAATCTAGTTTTATTAGGGTTGAGGTTCCCTGTGACTAAGATGCTGTATGACGCCACCCAGCATACTAGTCCAACCAAAGCTGCTAATAATTGCAACTCATTTAGAAGGTCTCTGTGCCTCTCTTTGCTCCCAGCACTGTATCACCCACTTGAAAAATATTAGCTCAATTTGCTCTTTATCCTAAGGAGCAGTTGACGAGAAGTGTTCGTGCCTAGCAAGTTCCAGGAAAACAGTTTCAGACAAAATGCTGGGAGGATGAGGTAAGGCTGCATCTGGATCCCTACTTCTTCATTCTTAGCAGTGGCCCAGCGGTTAAAGCATGGACACTCCCTCTGTGCCCATCACAGCAACCACTTGCCCATCTTCTAGAACAAAGTTATGGTTTCCCAATTTGCATAACGACATCCCGATCTCTTCCAGAAAGGCTTGTCATATGTATTTATTTTTAGGCTGCTGCTAGCAGTTTCTCATTGGCCATGGGAATTTTTAACAATTGAAGTAAAAGTTACAGAAAAAAAAAACCCAACTCAACGGATTCAAGTTGACAATATATTCATTATTCAACTAAAAAAGAGAAATATGGGAGAGGAGCCTTTTGCCGGGAAGCAGGACGAAATGATAGGGTAGGTCTCATTTTCTGTGTAGTCTTGTTTAATTTTACATTTGTTGAATGAGAGAGTGTCAATCATTTATTCAGTAAATATTTACTAAATGCCTACTTTGCCCCAAGAATTATGTGTGCCCTAAGGCTAGAAACATCCCCATTCTCAAAGAGTCCAATAAAGAAAAGGGAGGGAGAAGAAGGAGAAGCATTATATTAAGTTCCCAAGCTGTGCCACGTGCTTTTCTTGTGGACTCTTCGTAACCACTGGTGAGAGAAGGTAGCTGAGACCCCCCAGAAATTGTTCAGAGTCACACAGTTGAGTGGATTGGTATTTGTAATCGAATTGGGCTAATTCCAGAATTTCTTTTAAAATGTCTTCAGAAAGCAGAAAAAAAAAAGAAAAGAAATTATCCATTATCCCTACCGTCATGATTTAAAAGCAAAACAAAGCAAAACTGTTAATGCTTTAGAAAATTTCCTTCCATTTTTTTTGGTGTACGTGTAGGTTAATTTTTGAATTTTTACAATATGTTTCACAGTTGTCATCAAAGTGTTATATGGCCTTTCATTGGAACTATGACACGATTGCCTGAAATACTCCATTATTTTTTATAGCACCGGGGAGAGAAATCATTGCCAGTCATGTGATGCCACTGACTGACACATGTCCAGATCTCGGCAACGTTAAAATGTGAAGGGTAAAAATGGTGTGTTGTAGGATCAGTGACCTCTTCTGTATTCCAGAAAGCCCACACTCGTCTACCTCCTCCCTGCCGGTAAGGGTGGCTTCCTGGCACAGGGGACCTGGATCTCCCCCACATGAGAGAAGCCCCTCTCCTGGGTCGGGAGGGCTCTCTCGGCAGGAAGAGCGCTCTCTTTGTCTTTCTCACACATGCATTGCTTTGCATACAGTAGGTACTCAAGAAATATTTCTTGGTTGAATAAATACATAACTAAAGCTTAAGAAGAAGGTTACCAACAGAAGAGAGTAACCATTACCATAGGCCCAAACAGTGGTGGGAGCCCACATTTCGTCGGGGAATGAGGGTTTGTGTGATTGCACTCAGGAAGAGAGGAGAAGAGATGGGTGGAACTTGGGAGTTGGAGCCAGTGGCCTGGGCTTCTCAAGGTGTTTCCCTTCCCATAGCCCACTACTCTGTCCACATGGACTCCTCTTTGGCTGTCCAGACCCCTACTCTGATGCCCTCACCCACACCTACCTCCACAGCACTGCCTGATTCTGCCATCTTGGGAAGTCACTCACACTTATTCACACTCAGCTGGCATACTGATTAAGATTTATTTGGGGACACCACCCATTAACATCAAGTAATAACTCACGTGGAGCAAACTCAGGAATCAGCAAGAGGCAGACAGGGGAGAGTCCTGTTTTTCAGAAGGAGCTGAAAATCTCCTTTAAATGGACAGGATCCCCTTTGCCCCCAGGAAGTAAAAGGCTACATATAGTCTGAGTCCACGCAATTTGACAACTCAACTCAACTTTCTATGGATGTTCACAAAGCTACCTGCCTGAGTCGGCAAAATCAGTGAAAATAAAGAAAAGAAATTCAGCCAAACTTAGTTCTCCATGGATGTTCTGGGTTCAACGCCAGATCTTCACATTTTGAACACCATCATGATTTCTCTGGCCTTCCTTTCCTCCTTTTCTTTCTCTCTGCACTTACCAAGTACCTTAGCATGTAGAGAACTGTGCTAAGTTCTCCAAGAAAAAGAACAACGGGTCAGAAAATTCTGACCTCAGAATGAAGCTTACACATTAATAGAAAGGCAAGTGTTCCTCACAAAGGAGTAACTTAACAAGGTAGAGAGAGAGCGACAGTGCTATCTGAGAGACACAGGGGACATGCAGTCAGAGACTAGAGCCAGGAGAGATGCAACCCAGCTAGGACACCAGGGAAGGCTCCAGAGAGGAGGTGTCATTTCACCTGGGCCTTGAAGGATGGAGAGGTTCTGGGAATAGGGGACCTGGGGAGGGGGAGGTATGCCTGGGCAAAAACCCTCCTGTTGCTCCCTTTTAGGTGACTGTTTATTACTTAGGAGACAAGATGCTGTTGTGAGGGCCTCTCTATGAGGTGTTAAATCACTGGTCAGTAAATGGATCATCATCTTGCGCTGACCATTCTGGGGCGTCATGAGTTATACCAGCTTAGGGCCAACACCAGGAAAATGCTATGAGATTTCATGCTGATGAGGTGTGACATCTTAGAGCAAAGTCCTAAAAGCCAAAGCCTGGCGTGTGACCGAACGAGAGGGACCCAGCGCTGGTCATGAACGCACTTGTCTGACAGCAACAACACAGTATCACTTTCCGAGACTCAAGGGGTGGTCGGCTCCCCACTTACCATGGACGTGGATCCCATTTGGTTGAAAGGAAGAGTTTGTTTCGGGCTGGTAAGACTTCAGGTGTGGCCCACCCACTGGCTGCTGGGTGTGGGGAGGCTGCGTTCTCGGCATTACTGAAGAAGGAGCTGGAACTCTCCGGGGGCTGATGTGGTGAGGAGACGGGGCAGAAGGTGCAAACCTGGGAAGACGAGCATGAGAGGAGGCGTGAAGGACATGAAAAAGCGGGAGCAGACACAAACTCTTCAAAGCCAAATTCCGATTTCCACACTGGCTGGATAAGAGCATACAAAAAGCCCTCAAAAGAAATTGGTGAACACGTTTTCTCCCATTTTTAACCACTGACTTCTCAGCTGAGATACTGAGGGGATAAAAGAAGTCAACAAAGGGAAAATGTAGTCACAGTTTGGGTTTGTCAAGCCTCTTAAAATGCATTTCAAATACTCTGGGTTTGGTGAAATTCAAAGCACATCTTTTGCCAGTCCCCCTTTTCTGCTAATTTTTAAATTCGTCTGCATTTTAGGGGAAATTTGATCCTTATGTTTCTGATTCATTTACACTTAGCTCATAAACATTTTGTTCTGAGAGACATATCTGAGGTCCAAGAAGTGTTACAAGTCTCTATTATAAGCCTCTCTCATCCTGTTCTCTTTAAACAATACATTTTCTTTTGCCAAGAATGAGTGAATTTAAACCTCAAAGATCAAGTGTGGTTTGAGACCCAGAACCTATCTGCATGGGTTCTGTGCTCGGCAAAGAATGCTTGCTGCTCAGGGCACAACCATAATGCCATGTGGGACATTTTTGCGGTCACATGTGCTAATCACAGTGAAGCCATTGCTAGTTTCTGAGGAGGGACAAATACAAGGTGACCTGGTCAACGAATCTGAGACACAAGCCTGACAACTATCCACCAGTCTTCTAATCGTAAGGGGACATTGGCAGGGTCCAACTCCCTGGGTTTGAAGTGACTTTCAAGGTGCACTTGGCAGAGCAGTGTTCAAGTTTACCAGCGTCCACAGACCACCAAAGTGACCCTCAATGCCGGGTCACTAGGGGGCTGGCACAGGGAACCCATTAGTGCTGTGAGATGAAGTGACAAAGTAACTGGGGAGCAAAGTGTATCAGCAATGAATTGTTTCATGTCCCCAGAAAGGCCCATGATGTTGAAAGCTTTCAGTTGGCTATTCCTTATGCCGAGTGAAAAGACAGGCTTTGTTGGACGCTAACATGGAGCCGTGGCCGGCGGCATCTGCGGCTTACTGCACAAGAACGAGTCCCCTCCCTTTGCTGGGCTTTTGTGTGGGGCCATAGAGGGTAAGAAGGGAAACTGAACCAGTCAAGTTTATAAAGCAATTTGCACCGTTCTGAATCAGAATATTTAATAGGGCAGAGCTTCTACACTTGTGCCAGGAAGGAACCATGGGATGAAAAAAAAAAAGTATGGAATTTACACCCCTAGACGATTCCTAAATGCATTCTGTCCTACGAGGGCTGTGGAGGAAGGGGATGCGGGAACTGAGGAGGAGGAGGACGTGGGGAAGAGAAGTCTCCAGAGGAGGCCAAAACAAACTGGCTGCGTTAGGATGCCTACTTTCACTTTGCTGCAGGAGAACAGTAACTGAGTACCCTGGGCCAGGTCAATATATATTTTCCAAGTGTATCATCTTAATTGGAATTTGCCTGGAAGATGAGCTGAACGGCCTTGAGAGAACACATCGCAGATGAACCCTGTCACTGCCCTGAGGACATCGAGTAAAAACCGTGCCAGGATTCCTCATATGGAGGCTATTTTCTTGGGGAACACGTCCTTAATGCGTCTGGCAACCCTCTTGGAGGTCACGGGAGGGAGCTGAGGAATTGTGGGATTGCAGGCTTTAGGGCTCAAAGGAGGCCACACGACCACCCCTGCCCCCGGGGCCCTGGGGGCAGGAGACCCCCGGGGAGAGTGGGGGGGTCCTGGAATTGGAAGACAACCTTTGTCACTGGCACTGCAAGCAGCAAGATCCGGTGACTTGCTTCCTGACTGTATTTCTTCATCTGGGAGTAAAAGACGCAGCGCACTCTCGATGGTTTTCCGGTCTTTTCTCTGGTACTTCTGCCACTCTTCCTTTCCGTTGAGGGCTGAGAGGGCCGGAGGTGTGTGGATGGGGCAAGTCACAGTATGTGTAAATCTGACCTGATATTTTCGGCTTGATGGAGGAGAGGGATTCCATTTCACAATCCCCTGCCCCTCCGCCCCGGGCCAGTGAGTCTGCCTCAGAAACAAGGGTCTGATGAACAAAGATAGAAAAGGTAGATGGGAGGGCGCCTGGGTGGCTCAGATGGTTAAGCGTCTGCCTTCGGCTTGGGTCGTGATCCCAGAGTCCTGGGATCGAGTCCCGCATCGGGCTCCCTGCTACGCGGGAAGTCTGCTTCTCCCTCTGCCTCTCTCTCTCTCTGTCTCTGTCTCTCATGAATAAATAAATAAAATCTTTAAAAAAAA